ACTTTTAGATACGTATCTCACCATCAAAGGGGATACGTACCCCGAATTGGTGAAGGAGTTCTATCAACACCTTGTAGCCACCAAACGGGGTGACAAGGTAGAAATCACCACCAAAGTCCGCGGCAAGGAAATTGTGCTTTCCGAAGGCCGTTTGGCCAAGCTCTTGAAATTGACCACCACGGGTGTGTCCGAATATGACCGGAAGGGGTGGATTGACACCCAAACTACGGGATACAAGGACTATCTCGGGTACTTACTCGGGAAAGAGGATGGGTTCACCTCGGCCACCTGACCAAACCGGAAATGGCTATCGGCGGAGCGAAAGATATTGGTTATGATTGTAACCGATAGCCTCTTGCCCACCAATAACAAGAGCAAGGATGTGGGAAGCTTGGAGTGCACCTTTGCGTATCTCCTAAAACATAAAATCAAGTTCAACCTGCCGGCACTCATGCTAAAGCACATAGAGTTCTGCAAAACAAACAACCGGCTTAGCCTACCTTACGGGATGATCCTAAGTTGGATCATGGAGAAAAAGGGGGTAGACCTAAGCCACACCGAGGTCAAAACCGCCAATGGCATGGTTTTCAATGCCCAAAACCTCCGCCGCAACGACATCTACTTCATCGAAGGAGGACACTATCTCACCCTCGAAGAAATTTGCCAAAAACCCGATGAGGAACGTAGGGAATTGGTTGATCGGTTGGACATCTCCAACAAAAAGCTCAAGCGGGCCATGCAAGATTGCGGAGGCACGGAAGAAAATGAAGGACAAGAGGAGGAAGACCGGCCTAACCCGTCAATGCACCCACGGCCAGGAGGGAACCCAAGGGGGCAAGACGAGGGTTCGGTCAACGAACGCATACTCGCACAGCTCGACCGATAGAATCAAATCATGGAAGAAGGGTTCTCATCCCTGATCCGCACCACACACGCACTCGATCAAAGGGTAGCAGCGATCGAGGCCGCCTTGGGCACTCGCGGTGCACCCAGTTCCAACGCAGGAAACCGAGGTATAACCGAAAATTCCCTATCACAACACCATCAAAAGTTCAGCCTACCCCAAGCCAAGACAAACGTAAGGCCGCAACCCTAATCAGGAGGCCGAGCTACGAGGTGTCTAGGGGTGAAAGGATGGACTAAAACACCGGGCTTCGGGGACGAAGCCCCTTGTAAAGGGGGAAGAGTGTAACACCCCGTGTTACGGCCCCTAAAACCATTTAATTAATCAATCAATAAGCCCAAGAGAAGGAATAAATCATAATGATTAATTAGGGGGAAAAGGCCCACCATAGTCCATGGGCCCTCATATATAAACCCAACCCCTAAACCCAATCCTTAGTTCCGAAAGGAATAGAATTAGCAAGCCTATAATATTAGTTCCTAATTAGGACTCCTAGATATATAAATAAAGGACTTAGGAGACACCTAGAACTTCCCACACGCCTAAACGGCCCACCTCCCCAGGAGAGCTCCAAGAATTCCCCTAGAAGAAAGCAAGAAAGCAAGAAAGCTTAAAGAAAGACCCTTCATAGCCAAGGAACTAATTAAGGCTAAGAGGTAACCCATGTCTCAACAAAACCTATTTTCATAGTTATGATTCCCCCTTAGGGTTTCCCCCATATTATTGTGTATTAACGATCGGTGATGAATATTATTAATGATTGATATATTGATTCCACGAGGAATCTTGATAATCTTGATATTGGGAGATTCTTGATAATTATGGTGTTCTTGGTAATTATATGGAGTTCTTGATGATTATGTGTTGTTCTTGATAATTATGTGATGCTCTTGATGTTTATGTGTTATTCTTACCGAATCTTGCAATTAGAAGACGAACCGTAATCTTGTTGATATAAAAGTGATTAGAACCCTAGGTTGTATCGTATGATCTTATTCTTGGATTATCGGGTGGGGAAATCGCAAGTTTGGGTGTTGATTATATTTAGAAAAGCATGATAGGTTATGTGTCGTTCGTTTCTCGTAATTGATCCGTTAATTGTCTACGTGTTGTCGTTAATTGCGTTGTAAAGTGTCTAAGCATGGTTTCGGGTTCCACAACGGTTCCCAGGGCGCAATTGATGAAAAAGAGTCAGTGGGGGGTAGGTGGGGGGTAGGGGGATGAAAAAGAGTCAGTGGGGGGTAGGTGGGGGGTAGGGGACCCGCCACCTACCCGGTGCCGAGAATTACCGCCTAGCAGCGGGTGGCCGGCGGGCGGGCAGCTGCCCGCCGGCGACCCGCTGCCCGGAACAGTAAAACCGGCGGGCAGCCGGCGGGTGGCCCCCCCACCCACCGGCTACCCGCTGGAAATTCATCCCACCCGGGATCCCGGCTTCCCCGTTTGATGTTCCCCGTTCCCCGTGGTGTCCCAACGGACTCCGTTTATCGTGCCTATATCTAGTTTGATGTTTCGGGTACCGTTCGTAGGTTTATGAGTCTATTATATTGCATGCTAGTTGAATTGGTATCCCGTTGACCTAGGTGGAAGAAGTATGAACCCCTTAGGACTATTCTTAATAAGTGACGGATCACGCATAGGTTTTGTTATACGTTTTCTCCCCCTTCCTAATGTGTAATGTGGGTTGCATGTGCTTGCTATGTGTTATGTGTGTGTTACCCCAATTCGGTTGCGATCGGATTGGTTATCCTGAGCTGCGGTTCAGAAGCTGGCTGCGGTCAGATTGATACTCTTGGGCTGCGGTCCACCGTTTGGTTGCGATCAAACGTTTCTATACGAGCTGCGGTTCGTCCTTTTTCCTGGCTGCGGTCAGATGACATTCTCTTGGGCTGCGGTCCACTGTTTGGTTGCGATCAAACACTATGATGAGCTGCGGTTCATCGGTCGGTTGCGATCGACCCCTCCGTGTTGCGATACGGGGCAGGGTGCTGCGGGGCCGTGTCAGAGCTATATGCGCTGACCCTCATGTATGGGCATGCGATTGGTCCTGTGGCGCCAACAAAGTGTGTTATGTGTTGTGACATGGACGAGTTGTGATTACGAGTGTCTTGGGGGATGTGACTATGGGATTTATATTGGGGATTGTTCATGTTGAGTTATGATCATTGTTTATGCTTTGCCTTATCTGCCTTATCTGTTGTGAACTGCATATGCTCGTTATAACTGTTGCTTGTGTCTGGCCTTATCTGTCGAGTCATTCCCGATTTTAAAAGCTAGAGTTCGTAGGATATATCTTCATGCTCAAAATGGTTTTTGTATATCTATATATATCTCTATATGTATTGTATTTCAACGCGTTGGAGTGGGTTACCAGCATCTCTCGCTGAACAGATATATTTGGCTTTCAGACACAGAGGACTAGAGCACTGGAGCGCGCTAGAACTGGAGCGTAGAAGTAGAGTAGTTTCCCTTTCGGCCTGCGTGCCATGTTATGCATTGTGTTTCAATGGATATTAGTTAGACAGCCTGTGCACCTGGGTTCTCTTGCCCAGGTGTGGCATAACACCCCGTACACTTATGATATACTTTGGGATGTAATGAGATATTACCTTTATTATATAAGCTTAAAATGTCTTGAAAATCTGGGGTGTTACAACTTCCCACATCTAGGCTTATCGTTGTGTCAATAAAATTGCTGCAATATGAATTTATTTGAAGATTAACAGCTGTTGGACCATATCATTGCTAGACCTCCTCTATTCCCCACTGCATCTATTGTAAATACATTTTCAAAACCCAGCTGAACTCTCACAAATTCCATTCTATGTTTGTCAACAAAAGTTTCTATAAAAAACACTACTCTTGGCCGCTTTGTGCGAACTAAGTCCGCTAATACTCGAATCGCTGTAGGGTTGTCAAGCCCCCGACAATTCCATGATAATAGACTCATATTTCTTGGCGGGCTTGCGATGCAAGTCTTGCCGTTTGGCCATTTTTTGAGTTACCATCATCACATTCCATGTCACCCTGTGGAGTCGTAGTGCCAGTATTCACCCTTTTCCGTTTCGAATCAGATCAGTTGCCACATACATAGGTTGTGCCTCACTGCTGGACGGAACGTCAGTTGTGAACATGTCGGGTGCCTTCCATTCTTTACGCTCAGTATCTAGTTCTGGTGCAACCCATTTTCGGCCAGCTAAAGGAGCATTTCTGCGTGAGCCTGCTCGTAGCCAAGGTCCATAAGGTTTCTCTGACTTCGGATGTACATAATTGTATAAAAAGTGTACATAATTGTATAAACAAATACATATAATTGTATAAACAAATACACAAAATCACGTCAACTCCCTACATAACTTACCAAAACGACGTCGTTTTGGGAGGCGCGGGGCGCACAGTGCTATGTGCGCCGTGGTGCAGGGTATAACGATGGGTACCTATATCCCCAATAATAATAATAAATCATAATTTTTGTTTATTTATTCTTTCATTTAATAAAAACAAATAAATGATAAAATATATTTTTTGAATTACTCATTCGGTCTCATTTTATCTGTCCTACTTACTATTCATTGGTCAAACCAATTATTTTTTCTTAGTTTATTTTCTTTAGTATTCTTTAATTATTTTTATATTAAATTTTTTTGTGTTTAATAATATTTTTAGTGTAGTTTCTAAATATAAATTTTATAAACTGATACTAAACTTAATATTATGAAAAATTGGATAAAAATAACTTCACTTCGTTAATCGAACTAGACATAAAATGAGACGGAGGGAGTGCGGTGGTCCGGGTCTTTCTCTGTAATCGAACCCGGGTTATCACAAAATTCTCCCCTACAAAATAAGCTCATTTGCCACTTGAGCTACCCTATTGGGTTATAAAATATTTATTCTGATACACTTATTATAATTTTTCAATTTGTGACGTGAGGGCTTAGGTAACATCACAAAAACAAATAGAAAAGTCATAATTGAATTTGACCAAATTGAAGTAGAATTATTTTAGGCAATGTAATTTGCTTCGATCTTTCTTAACACAGAAGCCATCAATTTCGACTTTTCTTGCTAAAGATCTGATCTTGGGGATTGTACCAGTGCAATACATTATAACGCAAAACAGTACAGTGCAGGGGAAAGCAGTGAGTGAAGTGAGAAATCTCAGATTTTGTGACAATTTTCATGGGTGAGCTCCATGTTTTGTTCTTCCCCATGATGGCTCAAGGCCACATGATTCCTACTCTTGACTTGGCGAAGCTGTTCGCTTCACGTGGCGTGAAGGCAACCTTAATCACCACCCCTTTAAACCAACCCGTTTTCTCCAAAGCCGTGGATAAGTATACGCAGTTGGGGTTCCAAATCCAGATTCGTTTGCTTGAATTCCCCGGCGTCGAGGTTGGCTTGCCGGAAGGTTGCCAGCGCACCGACCAAATCCCCTCCGACGACGCAATCCCCAGTTTCTTCAACGCCTGCGCTATGCTCCAACACCCTCTTGAGCTTCTCCTGCAAGAGCTCCGTCCCCATTGCCTCGTCGCCGATATGTTTTTCCCTTGGGCTACACAGGCCGCTGCTAAGTTTGATATCCCAAGATTGGTCTTTCACGGATCAAGCTACTTGGCCTTGTGTGCTACCCACACCCTTAGACATCACAACCCTTTCATAAACGCAACTTCTGATTCTCAACTTTACACCATTCCAAATCTTCCTCACCAACTCCAACTCACCAGATTGCAAGTTTCTCCGTTTCAACGCAGCGAGGTTGAAGCTCCCCATACGGAAATCTTGAAGCGCGTTATGGAAGCGGAGGATATAAGCTACGGGGTGATCTATAACAGTTTCTATGAGCTTGAACCAGATTATGCAGAGCACTACAAGAATGTTATTGGTATAAGAGCGTGGTCAGTTGGGCCACTTTCCCTTTACAATAGGGAGCTAGAAGATAAAGCTGAAAGAGGGAAGAAATCGTCAATTGACGAGCATGAATGCCTGAAATGGCTGGATTCCAAGAAACCAAACTCCGTAGTTTACATCTGTTTTGGAAGCACTGCAACTTTTGCACCATCTCAACTCCACGAAATGGCGATGGGGATCGAGGCTTCCGGGGTGGAGTTCGTTTGGGTGATCAGAAATAAGAGAGAAGAAGATAACGGATCGGAGAAATGGATGCCTGAAGGATTTGAGGAGAGAACAAAAGGGAAAGGATTGATCATAAGAGGCTGGGCTCCTCAAGTGCTAATACTTGATCATGAAGCCATAGGCGCATTCGTGACTCACTGCGGATGGAACTCAACATTAGAAGGGGTGTCTGCAGGGGTTCCTATGGTGACGTGGCCGGTTTTCGCCGAACAGTTTTTGAATGAAAAACTGATAACTGATGTTTTGCGGACTGGAATTGGAGTGGGCTCTAAAGAGTGGAAGAGATCGAACAGTGACGGTGTGAAGAGAGAAGCCATTGCAGAGGCAATCAAGAAAGTGATGATTGGTGAAGAATCCAAGGAAATCAGGAGCAGAGCAAAGACAATGAAAGACAAGGCAAGGAAGGCAATTGAGGAAGGAGGATCATCTAACTTAGATTTGACTTCTTTGTTGGATGAACTGAGAGCTTACCATGCAAAATAGTGACCTTAAAACAACTGCAAGCCTACAGAGAAATGGATGCATGCGCCACTAGTTCCAAAACATAAATAGGATCTCAATACTATGTCTACATTTCTATTGATTTGGATCCAGTGAGATCACCTTAGTTGGTTGAGATCGAGATCGGGAGATTAGATCTTGACCTTTCATTTTATTTATTTTACCGTTCAGATTAATATTTGTTTATAATGTGTTAATGCGTTGTAATTGTATCCAAAGAGGGGCAGCTAAGTAATTTCATAGGCTTTGTGTATCTTTAATATTTTTAGAATCCCCTTCTTTCTCGCTATTTTCCTTCTGTTGCAGGCGTGGTTGGAGTTTAATTTTATTTGCACGCCGATTCTGTAGCTGTCTCCTCATTCATCCGTTTCTCTCTTTCACGTCGGCTCCCCTCATCCATCCGCTTCACTATTTCACGTCGGTGTGTGCAGAAGCGCTATTTCCATGGCCAGGTCTTCTATTAGGTGATCGAAGTGATTGATGCGGAATGCTACTACTGATGTTGAAAGTATTCTGTTGTACCCTTTGTTTTTGATTCATTTTTTTGTCATTTTTATTAGGGTTTGCCGTCTGTTATGTGTGTGGTTGGTATTCTGGCTGGGGTTTTCGGTTTATGTGGGGGTGTCATGTGTGGGGTATTTGGGGATGGGCAGTAGTAGTACGGGGGTTTAGAGGTGTGGCAGTAGCGGTGGAAGGTTGGTCTTCGACAGGGTTTTCAGCGATAGGGGCAAAGCCTGTTCTCTGGTTTTTTTTTTTTTTTTTCTTTGAGTTTTGTGGGTTTACTAACGACGGCCCAGTCTGGGAGTTGGTATTGGTGGTAGTCCAGCAGGGGGAGGGGGGTGTCTGTAGCTGTAATGGTGTTTAAGGGGGCTGTGGCGGTAGGTGGGGTGCGCTGGTTGGGTTTAGGGGGGGGACTTACCTGCGGTTCTTGGGTTGTTTTTTTTTTTATATTGTTTTTTTTTTTGGTGCCCGCCGGTGGGGTATCTTCATTGTGGTTCTGTGTTTTTTTGTTTTGTGGGTTTTTTGGTTTTTTCGGCGACGGCGGTGGAGGTGTCTGGTTTTTTTGTGGGGGTTTTTTGGGGGCTTTGTGCCTGTTAGTTTTTTTTTTTTTTTTTTTTTTTTTAATACTGTTCTGGTGCTATCGGGGGAGTGTGTGGGGTGCTGTTTTTTATTTTTAATTTTTTGTGGGTTATGTGGTATTATTATTGTTATTTTATATTAAATATAAATTTTGGTGTTTAAGATGTAGTGACCGTGGGTTGTGCGTTTGCTGGTTTGATTCTTTGTAATGCATGTTTTGCTTATTCGTTTGATTATTGTGTGTGGGGGCAACCTTTTTCTTTGTTTTTTGGACATAGTTATTGGGTGTGTGCGCAGAGCTAGTATCTGTTATATTGAATTCAACTGTGTGCGTTATAGGGTTCTCATGTGTGCGTAATCTTGTATTGTTTGATGTAAGTGGGTTGTGCGTTTTAAAAGATAGCATTTCTTATTATGCACACTCTATCAATTCTCAGTCTTTTGGACACCCCTAATTCCACTAACGCACACGCCCAGCTATACAAACGCATACACCTATGTATCCCACGATAATAAGCAGTGGCCAAATTGTGCCCAAATACCAATGGTTTGGCTTCTCTCAGGTGGTTTGTTTTTGTTTTGTTTTTTGTTATTATTATTTTTTTTTGTGTGTTTTTATGTTATTATGATTGTTTTTGTTTTTTAAAAATTGCGGAGTTGGGGTTTTATGTGGTAGTTCATTTTTTGTCGTTACTTCAATTCTTGTGGGCAAATTATATTATGCACCGCGGTGCATAATCGATTATGCACCGCGCGTCTTTTTTTTAAATGAAAATTAACAGTGTTTATTTCCGCCGTTTCGCACCCTTTTGCAAAAAGTAACTCTGTTATTCAGTGTCATTTTGTATGAACTGCAGTTTCAGTTGAACACAACTACAGTTTCATTTCGATATAACTATAGTTTCATTCGATATTTATAGACTCAAATATGTGAAAATGTTATTTAATTTTATTTTATATACACTATAGTTTCATTAAAACACAACTACATGATCATTTTGATATAATTACAGCTTCATTGTACAATATACACTCAAATATGTGAAATGTTATTCAGTTTCAGTTTATATACACTGCAGTTTCATTTCACTATAACTACAGTATCATTTTGATATAACTGCAGTGTCGGTTTGGATATACTGTAGTGTCAATTGGTGTTTAATACACCAAACAAACGGACTCCGTTAACTCTAACGGCGGGTCGTTTCTTTACTTAAAGAAACGACGTCGTTTTTGACCGCGGTGCATGTGCACCGCGGTCTATAATATAACGACTGATTCTTGTGTGCAAGGGCTACCTTCTTTTTTTTTTTTTATTCTTTTTTTTTAGACTATTGTGTGTGGTTTCCATGTGGGGGATGTTTGCCATTTTAATAGATTTGAAATATTATTAAAACAGTTCTTGATGGCGAGATGTGTGCGCTGGAGGTATTAGGTGTGTGCGTGTATGATGGTGTAGATTGCTAGGTGGACTCTGTGTGTGCAAATTCAATGCGTGCATTAAGGTGTTTGCATGTTTGTATTGGAGTATGTGCATACTAATTTACAATTTCATATTATACGTCCATAGCATATTAAGGTGCGTGCGCATCAACTTGTGGTTTGTGCTCACGTAGTATTTGCTATGTGCGTTTGTTTTGATTTGGTATCGATTTAATAGATAGTTTCTGATTATTTGCTGTGTGCGTCCTTTTTTTCAATTTTTTTTTTATAGAATGATAGAATGATTTGCTCTCCGTCTTTTTTTTTAAGGATGTCGGGTCCCCTGTATTAAATTTAAAGGTAAAAGAGCACGAAATTTTGCAAGGAAGAACAATAAAATAATTCGAAAGAATAATTGAAGCAAGGGTATTTAAATTTATTTAAATACTCAGATTTATCTCGAAGAGCTACAAAGTCAAAAAGTTTGAAGAACTTATTAGAATGGTGGAAATTATTTATTTGACAGAAGAGATTTGAAGATCAAGATTTCGGTGGAGAAAATATCTTATTATTAGAAACAACTTGTAAATCAAGACAGATAAATATATTATCTTGTCAGAAGCAAGTTGGCAATCAATCAGAAAGAAGATCTCAAATTGTCAACAATACCAGTCTACAAGATTCAAGATTTCAAAAACCAATTTATCTCGCTCCAATGGATATATTTGATTATCTATAAATGCATGAAGACTTGAAGATCAAAGACACGAGCAATAAGCAAGAAAAAGAAGTGTTGAACTAAGAAATCAACAAGTGAAATCAAAGTAATCTTTGAGTCAAAATATTTATTGAAATATCTAGAAAAGAGACTAAGTCTGAATAAGTCTCAAAGAGTTGGAGAAAAACAAAATTACACTTGTTTGTAATTGAGGGAGTGGGAGCTGTGTGCAAAAACACTCTTAGTTGCTAAGTGTAGCTATGTGCAAGACACTTAGTTGGTGTTGGAGTATAGATGTGTGTGATATATTTGGGGTTGAGTGTAGTTGTGTGCAAGAGACTCTGGAAGTGCTTGTGTAGCACTTGTTCACTATTGTATCTGTGTTGTTGATAGTGAATTCCTCCTTGGAGTGAAAGGAGTATAGTGGAGTAGGAAGATTACACCAGTTCCGAACCACTATAAATTCTCTCTCTCATTTACTTACTGCACTTACATATTTTAATTTGCATGCTTATTATTTGACTAACCCAGTTTACTATTCATTGCATAACTTTATCCTTTTTTTTTTTTTTTTTTTTTTTTTTTTTGGGTGGGTAATCCTTCTGGGTTTGTTGCTTTTAACATGTGCATGCAAGTCAAACTTTCCATACATCATTCTTAAGCTATAACGAGTGTTTCTAACGTGTTGCATGTGTTGTACACTTCATTGAGCAGTTCACTTTGAGCATAACACTTTACTATATAATTATTCCGCTGTGCACTCAAAATTGAATACCTGGTTATTTATTTATTACTTGGAGTTGAAATTACCAAAGTGTTATTCATTTGAAAAATAGTTTGAAAAGTCTATTCACCCGCCACCCCCCCCCCCCCCCCCCCCTTGAGCAGTCTATTTATTACTTGGTGTTGGAGTATAGATGTGTGTGATATATTTGGGGTTGAGTGTAGTTGTGTGCAAGAGACTCTGGAAGTGCTTGTGTAGCACTTGTTCACTATTGTATCTGTGTTGTTGATAGTGAATTCCTCCTTGGAGTGAAAGGAGTATAGTGGAGTAGGAATATTACACCAGTTCCGAACCACTATAAATTCTCTCTCTCATTTACTTACTGCACTTACATATTTTAATTTGCATGCTTATTATTTGACTAACCCAGTTTACTATTCATTGCATAACTTTATCCTTTTTTTTTTTTTTTTTTTTTTTTTTTTGGGTGGGTAATCCTTCTGGGTTTGTTGCTTTTAACATGTGCATGCAAGTCAAACTTTCCATACATCATTCTTAAGCTATAACGAGTGTTTCTAACGTGTTGCATGTGTTGTACACTTCATTGAGCAGTTCACTTTGAGCATAACACTTTACTATATAATTATTCCGCTGTGCACTCAAAATTGAATACCTGGTTATTTATTTATTACTTGGAGTTGAAATTACCAAAGTGTTATTCATTTGAAAAATAGTTTGAAAAGTCTATTCACCCGCCACCCCCCCCCCCCTCCTCTATACTTTTCGCCACCCAATCGGGACCAATAAGCTGCATCTCTAAATTTAAATTGCTTGCTAAACCATTCTTTCAAAACTCCAATGTGCCGGATAGTTGTTGGGAAAATGCAGTATTCATGCTGCTACTTTAATTCTAAAAATTTTGGTACACTGCATATCATTATTCCCCCTTACATCTAATACGTGGTTTTCAAACAAACATTTCCCAAATTTGCGTTTCTATTCTTATAAATGCAGTCAATATATTACATAACCACCATAGTATACCTCTATACCTCTATTTGTTGTCTCAAATATTGCCCCTAGAGAGACACGATAGAT